AAATTTTTTATATATCCTGAAAAAATTGGCAACCTCTCCCCTCCCCACTCCCCCCCCCCCTCTTCACCGGACCTGGGCCCCATCTGACGTTGTTCACTCGTTGTCCTTTTTAAGACGCCAGCACGTTCCTGGTGGGGTGTCGTAGGTTCCCAGCGCAGCGCCACCAATTCATTCAACTGTAAATATACTTCATGTAATATATCAATATTGTAAACTAAATCGTAAATAAGTCTTTGTACGTGTAAATTGATACGTCACAGTGACACATTGTAATTTGGTAGGGTAATCAAATAGCTAGGGAGTGATTGAATGGAATGTTTAACAGTCTAAAACTCGCGTTGTAAATACTTTCTCTCACATAATACAATCAATAAAATCATAAAATACAGTCCCTTGAGCGTGTATTGAATGAACCACAAGTTCCACAACACAGTGGTCCTTCGAACCGGATTATTATTATTGTGAAGAAAGGACGCGCAAATAGTCAACATCATGCGCCGCGGTCGAGAATAGAGTTGCGTGAGGTTTCGAGACCTGAATCATTTGATGGAAGATCTAGTCAAGAAGAAACGAGTGAGAGGAGGCCACAGATCGTCAGCTAAAAAGCTTGTGGCGAAGATAGTTGAAAAGCTTCAAAGTGCGAGCCCGGACAAAGACATACTATCGTTGCGGCAGAGCCAAACGAACTTGAAAGAAAAAATCCAGACGATAAGACAATTCGACGAACAAATAATCGACATAATCAGCGCATTGAAAGAAGAAAACGTCGATGAACTTGTAACGCAAGAAATTGAAGAATCAGACAACGCGATAGCGGAACTGGAAAGAGTATTACTCGAGCTCGATGATGAATTATGTAAATTGAGACAAAGCACGCCATGTCAATGTCAATGTCGACAACGCAGAACGCCGCGGATGCAAGCCTTAATCAAAGTCGTTTGTCAATCTCCAGCGATATGCCAGTCGGTAAAATCGTTCGAGCTAAGCTCCCGAAATTTGAACTCAGAAAGTTTATTCGGGAAGATTTGCGAATGGCAGGAGTTTTGGGACGGCTTTTCAAGTCAATTGATAAAATGAGCAATTATCTGATGTAGATAAATTTGCGTATTTACGCGGTCTATTGGAAGAACCAGCAAAGTCAACAATTGCTGGGTTTTCTCTGACAGAAGCAAATTATAAGTCAGCAGTAGAACTCTTAACGAAACGGTTTGATAAAAAGAGCGCATCCAACGAGCACACGTGAACGAACTGATTCAATTGTCGCCGGTAAAGAAAGGAAAGAGACACGCGAGGACTTCGAAATTTGTACGATAGCTGTGAAGCACATAACCGCCCGTTGAAAGCACTGGGGGTGAGCGAGGAATATTACTCCAGTATTGTTGTTCCAGCCATCGTGGAGAAATTACCGGAATCATTTCGTTTGACGATTACCAGTGGGACAGACTTTTTTCAATGGTCGATGGAAGAAATATTGGATGCATTTGTAAAATAATTGGAACTGAGAGAAGCACATAATGCCGTGGGAACGACTGCAATGGTAAATATGGAACGAGATCAACAGCGTCAGCGAAAGAACCCTTATACTGCTGCTGCACTCTAGGCGAATGAGAAACGAAAAAACAGTAAAAACTGAGCTTTCTGCCTGAAACAACATGCCCACGAAAGCTGTCCTTTTACTGAATCGAATAGTGGTATTATTTGATATTTGATATTTTGATATTTTATTAAGATAAACCGACATTGTAACCGTAGGTTAAATTGCATCGGTCTTTACAATATAAAACTACATTATATTTACAATAAGAATTAACTACTTGATGTTTATAGTAAAAAATTTAAAATACAATCGATCTATTTACTATTTTCTTTAGAGATAGTTCGTGGTAAAAACGAGTTTTTAAATCTGTTCGTTTTGCATGAAAAGTTTTTATATTTACATTTTGACCTCGTGTCATAATCTAACGAAGTTTTACAGATCAGATGTTCGTAAACTTTACTGTTACTTTCATTCTTCGCAAAGAATTGGTCACATAGTTCATCACGTCTTGTTTTGAGTAATGGGAGGTCGGTCAGTTCACGTGCCTGCCTATAGCTTAATGAAGGCAATATGATTCTTAGTGCGCGTTTTTGGATTTTCTAAATCTGATCACTTAAATATTGTTGAATATTAAAATGCCAAACTTGGCAGGCATATTCTAAAACAGGTCTTATGATGGAAGTGAAAACCGTGAGCAATATCTTCAAATTGGCGTTCGATCTTTTCAAAATCCGAAGCATGTACAGTCTTTTTCCGGCTTTCCTGACAATTTGGTGTATGTGGTCGTTCCAATTCATATTATTTTGAAAGGTAATTCCGAGGATGCGAGTTGATTCTACACGTTTCACTGGTACGTCGTTGATCAGTAGAGGCGTAAAGTTCCGTTTTTCTTTGGAAAAGTCAATGACCATTTCTTTACATTTATCTACGTTGAGCTTCATATTGTTTGCGATAGTCCAGTTATAAATATAGTCCACTAGGTCTTGGAGATTACTGTTACAGTCGGGTGGGATACTTTCGGTGACCGTACAGTCGTCGACATATTTCCATTTATCAGGCCATTCAGTAAGTAGGTCGTTTACCATGATAAGAAAGAGAACAGGACCCAAAACTGTCCCTTGAGCTACTCCTCCATTTACATTGCGCCAATCCGACAAACAGTTGTTCAGTTTTACTCGTTGTTTACGTCCTGTAAGAAAGCTTTGAATCCAGTGTATTATTATAGTTGATGGTACGTTCATATCAGACAGTTTCTGCAAAAGGATAGAATGGTCAATACTGTCGAATGCCTTCGAGAAGTCAAGAAGGAATACTCTTATGGCACTCTTTGCCGCGTCTGTCTCGCTTAGCAGATGATGTACGAGACTTATTAAGTTGTGGGTTGTTGAAGTGTTTTTAAGGGAACCAAACTGTCTTTCATCTATTTTTTCTTTGATCGAATCAATCAACCAATCGGCAACAAAACTTTCGCAAATTTTTGAAAGTGTAGGAGTTAGCGATATAGGGCGTAAATCGGTACTTATATCAACAGGTACTGTTACTTTTGGGATTGGGATAACGTCAGCTTCTTTCCACGATGTAGGAAAAATTGAGGATATGGGTAAAGTTAAGACGTGGGCGTACTCCTTGAGCACCCAATTTGGTGTTTCGTCAGGGCCAGATGATTTTGAAGAGGATATAGTAATTAATTTTTTGTATATGTTTTCTTCACTGATAATATACTCAGGGAGGGTAAGATATTGACTACTTTCGATCTGGGTCTCAGTGGGGGGTTGTTTCAAGGGGGACATTTCTTGAGTAGTTGCGGTAAAGGCATCGTTTATTTTATTAGCTAGGACTTCTCCGTTGATGATCTCGTCGTCCCAAACTAGGGAGGAGAAAACGTTTTTATTTGGGTATCCTGCAAGTTGTTTAATGCACTCCCACCACTTTTTAGGGTCAGGGTTCGATTTCAGCTGGTCCATCATCTTTCGAAGGTAGTCAGACCTAAGTTTTGCACATTGCCTATGTGAAAGGTTACGAAGGTAGTGGTACTGTTCGATTTTCCCGTCATGGTAAGCTTTTTGCCTATTTAGAATAATCTTCTTAAACTCAGGTGTTACCCAGGGTTTGTCTTTATCATGCAACCTCACTGTTTCTAAGGGGAAGAAAAGATCTAATCCTGTTTTTAAAACATTTTGAAAAATGGCTAATTTCTGTTCGCATGATACTTCTCGGTACAGTGTTGTCCAATTGATGTCAGCTAGCCACTTCCCAAAAGCAGATTTGTCGGTTGGATTCCGTTTCCTTCTCTTCACTTTGGTGGTCATATTTTTAGCTTGGGATTTCTTGAAAATACGAATCAGCGAATTATGATCATTTTGTCCTACGGGTGAAGTAACCAGTGGAGGATCACTAAAGGTCGGCATATTTGTGAGAATTAGGTCTAAAATAACGTTATTCCTAGTTGCTTCTCTAACAATTTGTTTTAACGTGAAGTGCCTAAGTAATTTGGACACTGGACATCTATTGAAGTCGCCAAGAAGGAAGATCCTTGCGTTTGGATATTTTGCAAGGGCAAGGTCGAGGTTTGTCGTTAAGTGATCGACTAAAGCTTTATTATCATTTTGTGGTGGGTAATAAACTATGCAAACGATGAGGCATGAGTAACCACGAGGAAGTTTATAGGGTCTTACGTAAAGCGAGAGGGTTTCGAAGCTGTCGTCTTGCAATTCGGTTAATATCTTAAAGGGAGTATGTAAATTTATATATGCACACACTCCTCCCCCGATCTTATTAACTCTATCACGCCGCACTAATACGTAGCCATCAATTTGGACCGCCCCATCGTCAATATTATGGTTTAGCCACGTTTCAGTAATAAACGCAAAGTTAATGTTATTTAGCTTGAGAATAGTTTCTAAGTGATCTATCTTTGGCACTAATGATCGGAAGTTCGATAGGAAAAAGGTCAATCGGTGTGTTTGAACTAAGTGTTTGTTACAGTTCTCATTGCCTTTTGTAGTTGGAATAATGATCAGGTTAGATGGATTACGAAGCCGCTTTTTTCTGTTACGGGGGTTATGACCTCCAATTTTTGGACGCGGAGGCAACCAGTCGTTCGTTAACACGTTAATCGGTGTACGAGATCGAGATGGTTGATCCAGTCTGGCTCTTTGCTTTGTAGTGGGTACCGGAACCACGGGAGGTGGGAGTGATCTAGGCATCGATTGCTCGAACGGTCCTGTACTTAGAAGGTCTGTTTCGGAAACATTTCCGAAAATAATTCGTTTTCTGTGGATGTAGATAGTGTAATTGCACGCCGTTTAAATGATCATGTGAGGATAAAAATGTCAGTTCGCTGGTTGTTCGAAACTTATTAGGTTTCTTATTATTGCCTTTATAGTGTGTAACAACATTCGTTCGTGTTATTATTTTCAATAACGTTGCGGTCTAGGTCATAGCATGCACTGAACTGAAGATATAAACATACAGTACAAAGTTGTCAGCTTCTAGAAGTTGACATGCGTGGGACTTGTCGAGAAAGAGTTAAAACACATTGCAATTCCATTCACAAATGTATCTAATCATCTAGAATATTTTCTCTGAAATGTTGTTTTATTATGCTTAGCATATGATTTATAACAAAATGCACCATTAAATTAATGTTTTGAAAACCTGAAATTTCTTACAAAATGTGCTCTCAGAATGCTGCAAATGACATTTCAGGGATCCAAATTGTAAAAATTTTCTGGGGAGCATTCCCCCATACCCTCCTAAAAATCTTATGCCTTCGGCACTCCCTAATATTTTGCAAAGTTTCTGCCACTGCAGTCATGTATTACAAATTGTAGTAAAAAGCCAAGTAAAGTATGCTGACTTATATAATATAAATATATAATAAATAAATAATAAAAATATTTTTATAAATATAATAATATTTATATAAATATAAATATATAAATATAAAATAGTCTGAAAGAGACTAGCTTAGTTAGTTTGGCTTCCATGTTAGTTACTGTACCCAAGTGTTAACCCACTAGAAAAAGAACTAGATAAATATGATGGAAATGTACTACCAATCATTAGACATTTTATTAGATAGTAATTTAGGCTGGAAACCACAAGACTGGTGTGATATAAAAAATCCTACACTATGTTAATATCAGTCTACTGACTAACTCATTGCAATGCGATAGCTGTCCTGACTGGAGGTGTAACTCACTTATTCATCTGTCGTTAGTTCGAAGATCCTAGTACTCAACACATATATCTGATCTTTGCTAAAGAGCTGTGAAATATTGTATGGGCTGTACAGTGTACATGAAAGTTTTATATGATTGTTTGTTTTACAGGTAGTCCAGGTTGAACAGAAAGAGTTTAAAAGTTTTAAACTATCAGCTGAAGGTGAAGCAGTAGCTGAGAATGGAAGTCATGAAGCAGTTGTGTTTGCGCATGTCCCTAAAGATGAAGGAATCACACAGAAAGAACTCATGGTGGGTTTTACTGTACCTTACCACTGAACTTATAACAATGACAAATTACTGATTTTCATTGATTACGTTGAAACAACTAAAGAAACTTGTTTTGGAACTGCTCGTATACTGTAACACCCGAGCTTTGTAATAGTGTGTATGCATGGTGTACTCGTAAACTATTTTTCTTTCATGCAAATTACAGTAAAAATACAAGAACCTTCCCACTTCCGCTTCTGTAACTTGTTTTGTATTTCTGTAATTTGTTCTATTTTTCTGTAGCGATTACCGCTTTATCGGCAAATATCGCGGTAGAATTCCCCTTTCTTTCCTTTATATACGTCAATTTGTAGCAAAGGATACACCTTTCGTTAGATTCTTTGCATAAAAGTTGCAAAATTTTGATTTTAGTACGTCAAATGATAGTGCTGTGCAAACTCCGGTTTTTCAGCTCCGGCTCCGGCCGAATTATAGCTCTGAGCTCCGGCTCCGGCCACATCATAAAATATTAAATAAATATTTTGCAATCAGAGAACATTATTTTATTAATATTATTATGAATAACTCTTTTCGCGCTTCCAGCATCTTTAATCTTCAAAATCTGTCTACAAACTCCTAATTATCAGATAACATAACTCCGGAAACAAAACAGTGAAAACCCTTATCCACACAGAAAATATCTATATGAAAACCAGCCTTGACAGTGTTGCAATTTTTATATAGCATGACGTGAGGCATGACGCTAACACTCTCAGACTCCACAGCGCAATTGTTCGCACGCAAACAAAGTACTCTGTCATTTTCAAAAGGTTGTTATTTATTTGTTTCGTACTTTTTCGTTATCTACAAGGCATGAATACACAGGCTATGTAGCGCTAAGTCAGATGGCTTCATGAAAGCATGATGTTTGTAAGTTGTGATCATATTACAGCTTTTCGACGCTGTTCCTGTGGGCTGTGGCAGTTTGAGTCTATGATGAATTCATTAACAGCAATTGGCAGTTTGTAGTAACTAACAATCGTTTGACATTTGTCTCATTTCAATTGTTTTCTTGTCATTTTGCCGGAGCTGGGAAAACGTAACTCTGGTTCTGGGCTCCGGCATACAAAATTCTGCTCCGGCGTCGGAAAAACCGCCGGAGCTCCAGCAGAACTCCGGCAGCTCCGGCGCACAGCACTATCAAATGATTGTAGTCGGTAATTTTATATTTGTATAGTATGAACACACTATGAGTGGTGGTTTAAAACCGATTTATGAGCAAATATCGCTATAAGATCTATCTATGTTTCGCAACTTTTATGCAAAGCAGGGTCCCCACGGTCCTTGAAAATCTTGGAAAGTCCCTGAATTTGTTAAAAAAATCCAGGCCTGGAAAGTCCTTGGAAACTGATAAGGTCCTTGAAAGTCCTGGAATTTTTTCAGTAGGCTGGAAATAATTGAAGAATTATTATCAGCCCAAGGATTATTGCCCAAATGTTTATTTTCTCCAATTTCATTTTCTCCGATGTCATTTTTTTCCTAATTGCATTCCTCTCCTTAAGTTTAAGGATAAAAGTTAGATGATTTTCAAAGATTTTTCCAGTTGCCAGGTCCTTGAATATACTGAAAAAGGTCCTTGAAAGTCCTGGAAAAGTCCTTGAATTTCATCTTCACTAAAAGGTGGGGACCCTGGCAAAGAATCTAACAAAAGGCATTGCTACAAATTGGCGTATATAAAGGAAGGAAAGTGAAATTCTACCGGACCCTACCGCGATATTTGCCGATAAAGCGGTAATCGCTACAGAAAAATGGAACAAATTACAGAAATACAAAACAAGTTACAGAAGCGGAAGTGGGAAGCGGGTTCTTGTATTTTGACTGTAATTCGAAAACGATTTTGATTGTTGTATTCATTAAAGGTAATGTTACAAATTATGAGCACAGTACAATTTTTGATAAAGTCAAAAAGAATATTCTAATCACTTTCTAGAGTTCATGTCCTGGTGCTAAGATTGGTTTTAATAAAGCTATGGCAAAAGGATGGCTATCTATGGATAAGAAAGCTGAAGGAGGGCCAAGGGTCATGAGAAAGGTACTATATTTAGCACTTGTGATGTACTATGTACCTGGTCGTATTAGTCGGAGCAGCGCAAATGGAAAGATTTGCAGTACCAAGTATTTCGGAAATCTGGCCACGTATGGACCTCCTCCTAATTTGACCCAAATCTTCTGGTCATGTTGTACCCGATTTAAGAATTTGGTCGATTCGATCGTGTTAATGCAGAGTTCCCATAGTAAAGAGCTGCATTCATCAACACGGCTGATGTACATATGTAAGCTCATGATAATGAAACTCACTTCGTTTCTGATGGAGTGTATAGGCTAACTTCAAAGATAAGAGAAGAAACAAGCGTGGAATTCAAATGCGGTTTTTAACCTGCACACTCGGTGTTTTTAAACTTTAAGACAATTAAGTTTAAAATATCTAAATGATAAAACAGAAACAATATGTTGTAAGCATTGTCGTCACATGTAAAGATCTCACTATCTGTGCTAAAACATTCTGCACCTCGAAAACAAACTCTTCATGTCCTTTCCCTCACACATCGCCATTTGAGTGAACATTTAACAACAATAAAAACACAAACGATTATTGAATTACGGTCCTGCACAAGGTACACAAAATCCTAGAACAAAGTTATTTTGAAGTTTCCTAACCCATTAGGTCTTATTATTTCTCCAAGGTTTGGCAAAAAATATATATGCGGGATGACGGTTGCCCGGCCAACATCACAAGCTAAAGCTCTTTGATTGGCTGGCTAAAATCCGAGCCAATCAGACAGCTTTAGCTTGTGACGTCAGGCCGGTAGCCGTCATCCCGCTTAGTCAAAAATCTCGACAAATTTGATGAATTTTCGCAAAATTGACTCGTTTTAATGTGGTGAGAGAACAAAAAAATATACAATATAGAAGTGTAAAAGTTATGTCTGATTATAATGAGTTTTTTTAATGTATACTGTACATAATGATGCAACACTACGGTCACGACCTTTTTGAAAGACCCTATGCTTAACCATCTTAACTACCATATAATAACGTATATCATTCTCAGCCTGGAATGCTATTATTCTGTTTAACACATTCAGTATCATAATGGTAAATTTTGATGATTTTCTTTAGGTTCTAGAAATTATAGATGATGTAAAATCGGATCTCCATAAAATAAAGAATGGAGGTTTAGATGATATTAGTGATACATTACTTAAAGATTACCAGAAACGAAAGCTTGTTGAGACAATGTAAGGATTGGTTTGTAACAATCTGTTTGGAGTTATACACTAGCTTGTTGTTTGTCTTGTCATGTGCAATGTTTCTGCCATGTTCTAAGCAACAGTTAAAATTTTGACTTTAATTTTAGACTAACAAAGAAGTATGTTGTAAAAAAAGGAGCAAACTTTAGTACAACAGCAAGTAAATTAGCAGCAGATTTGACAGCAGATATGTTGGCAAGGTAATATTATTTTTCGTACTTTTCTACAATTAACGTATTGCCATAACCGCAAACCAAGTGACGTCACAACTAGGTTCCAGTCTCATTCTAACTGGCTGCCCAAAACGGTCATGTGACTTCAACACTCAAACATTCAAGGTTTTCTAAAAGCCATGTTGTTACACCAGACAATTTTTGCTGCAACTTACAATGCAATTTCGGATACCAAGCCATGTTATCTAAGAATTTGTTGCAAGGAAATTATGAGCATGGTTCTGCCGACACTTTCTTGACATAATACTGTACACTTTTATTCGATGAAAAATGAAAGAAATGGAATCAAAATGTCAGTGCAGTAAACTGTCAACCATTGTCACGATATCCCTGCAACTAATGTACATTTTGTGCGATCAACCGCACAGCCCACCCCTGCCCTTTGTAATATTTACTGTATTTCTTGTAAATACTTGAACGCTAATAATTTTTTACGTAGAACTTCACCACTTTGTTTCGTTTAGCAATGAGTGGAAGACAGCAAAATTCAAAGAATATAATTTCGATGCTCAAGGAATTCCCCCATCAGGTGGCTACATGCATCCATTAATGAAAGTCCGAGCTCAGTTCAGACAAATCTTTTTGGAAATGGGGTAAGAAGAACTAAAACGTAAAGTATACAGTGGACGAACAACTTTTGTCTTAGAGTATATATTTATGTTTCCGTAAATCTTCTCAGCCGTTTCCATCAATAATTTCCAATCTTCTCAACTCCACATTATTTATTTATTTTCCATTATGCCATACGTCCTTCATACCAGTGGCGAAGTTAGCCATAGCAACTGGCCATGCTATACAAATTTAGTATTCAAACCTTTATAAATGTACTATTAAAACACGAGTAGGAGTGTTTTATCAAATAAAAAATGCGAAACGCAGCCGAGCGTTTTATGTCTGATAAAACACGACAACGAGTGTTTTGAATAACTTAAAATACATATGATGTTTGTGATGTTACTCTGAGTATATATCCACACCGGGCGAGCTTGAAAAATATGCCCGGCCACGGTGGGAATCGAACCTACGACCTTTGGGATACTAGCCCAATGCTCTGCCAACTGAGCTACGCGGTCAAGACGGTTCGAGTAAGTGATATTTCGGAACAGAATCCAGTTCCTTCGATACCAATGTAATCTAGTAATATGATTTATTTTTTTTTAAATTCAAAAAAACTTAAAATACGACTACAAAAGAATACTAATTAGGGTGAACAATTATATAATCATGCTAATTAGGATGAACAAAAATAAGATGAGTTTTATCAGTCACTCCAGGTGACATATTATGGCTGACATGATTTGCCACAAGGTTTATCAATTATTAATGAGTATTTTAACTACAGTAAGTGTACATGCTATTAGCATGGTATGACCATTTGCCATGGCTAGCCCCGCCACTGCTTCATACCCATATTCGTTTACCGAAATGTCATTAAATTTGTCTTTCCTTGCCTGTCTTATGGTGTATGCCAACGTTTTATTTACTTATCATGTTCATTGCAGCCTATTCTTCAGCAACTTGCAATGTCTTTTGATATTGCATTTACAACCCTCTTTACCTTCGGGGAAGTTTTGGAATATTTTTTTCACTTCGACCAAAGGTACATACTTTGTACTCTGAAGTTTATTGAATCTTCTGAACGTTTTCATCTTCTTTACAGCTTTACAGAGATGCCTACAAACAATTTTATTGAAAGTTCGTTTTGGAATTTTGATTCGCTGTTTCAGCCACAGCAACATCCAGCAAGAGATGCACATGATACATTCTTCATATCAAGTAATTACACTGCTTTTCTCAAAATTAATATATTTTAGCGAATATTATTTAGTAATGTCATAATCTTTATGGTAATATTGACTAACGGTTTAGTCTAAAACACTTAGGAAAAAAAAATAATACCTGGGTTTCCGGTTTCCCGACCCCACCTAAGTATTGGCCACCTAAGTAATCACCAAGCCTAATCTTTTTATTTGAGATTTGCTAAGTGCTTGGAACAGTTGCTCGTTTTAACAAATATTTGTACCATCTGTGCTGCCGTAGGCTATCACTCTCATGCATGAGCATTTGTAAAAAATAATACAAAAAAAGAAAAACCCCGACCTACCCTCCCTAGGTTTTCGCAATAGGAAACCCAGGTATTTTTTTATTTGGCTTTATTGTTTGTTGTTTGTTGCCTTCTATTGTTATAAACTCGACAAACCCCAGTTAACTAAATTACGGTGCTTCATGCAATACAAACTTGATAACTTGGAAAACTACTGTAGGACCAAAATATAAAATCTGGGGCCCCAGTTGCATGATACCGGATCTGCTTGTCACACTACATAGAATGTAACAGTTGCGATTATATCAGAAAATAAGACAAGAACTGTCAAGGGGGAAACGTTTGTGCGCAGATATTACAGTGTACTTCCGAAGGGCATATGTTTATGTCGTATCAAACGAATCCGGTATTGTGTAACTGGGGCCCTAAAGCTACACATAATGTATATTTCGTTTCCAAATTTTTCAGGGACTTGTGCTTGCTATAGCTAAATATAGTTACATCTGGTTTTATAAAGGAAACAAAAGGAAAGGAGACAGTGATTCGTGAGAACAAAATGGATTTCTATTCGATTGCTAATTCCAGGCATTTTGCTCGCTATCGAATAAGCTGGGAATCTGACAGTCCTGGTATTTAGAATGCCAAAAAATACTGTGTGAATTTTGATTTCCTGTATAGATCCCAAATACGCCAAACTGGAAGATATTCCAGCAGAGTATATTGAAGCTGTAAAGACTGTGCATCAACATGGAGGATATGGCTCACAGGGGTATTTCATTTCACAATTTATAAATATTTTTCTTAAAGTTGGCTTACGTTATTCCCGAACAAATGTATCCTGATTGTCGCATTATTGATGGTTAAATTATTCTTTACAAACGTTTTCCGTAATGATAGTCACATGTTCCAGTTGTTCAACTATTCCGATTGCATAGATGAAATTATGGTAATTTTGCATGTGAAATCATGCTTTACTTTCAAGGAATGCATGTGCATTTCCACATTTGAAATGTTTCATCTCCACACATAATTTCATATGTGAAATAATATGCGATTTACCTAATGTGAGCACACCCACGCTATGGGTATACTACCATTGTATCTATTCGCATTTTGATGGGCTCTGGGCTTACCCTAGGATTTTTTTCCAAATACCGTATTTTCTTCGAGTCCAGAAGTGCTGAAAAAGAATAAGCCCCACGCTCTTTTTAAACCCCATCTTGTATTAGTTAAATTAGTCTCAAATGTCTCAATATAGACTTATAGTAACATACAAGCACTGTATATATGTCTTGTCTTCAGGAGCTCGACATTTTTGGGTTGGAGTTAATCTGCCTTCCGGCAGTACCAAACCACTTTCTAAGTATCCTGAGTATAAAGTATATATCTAATATGCACTGTACGTTTTTAAATGTACAGTGCATATATCAACCTCGCAAGCCAGGGTCTTTGGTAAAAGACCCTGGCTTGCGAGGTTGTGCATATATTAGATACATACTTTATACTCAGGATACTTAGACAGTTCTTTAAAAAGAACGTGAAAATATATTAAGGCGCCAGTCAGTCAAACACTGGAAAAAATAAAGTAAGCTTCCAGGGGCGAGGCGGGGCTAAATACGGTATGTCTACTATTTTTGGAAGAAGTAGCTATATAATTTGTGTCGGAAGGATAATATAGGGAAGAACCTGGGAACACGGTTGGACTTTGTAGTCTTTTGTATAACTTTACAACGGTATGTTGTTTCCATAGTTATCAGTATGATTGGAAATTAGAAGAAGCGAAGAAGAATATATTAAGAACACACACTACTGCAGTTAGTTCTAGAATGCTCTATAAACTTGCTAAAACTGTGAGTATACCTTCATGAAGTATTGCATCAAGTCTGATAATATGATATTATACACGCGTAAAAGCGAACAACCTATTCCTGGTTGGTATCCACAGGCTTGAACAAGGTTGTCTGCACCCTCAGAAAGAACAAGTTGTCAACAATATTGTTACGGCATTGTTCAGTTGTAACAACACTGCAACGACCTTAAAGGTGTTGATAACTTGTTCTTGGATGCAGCACAACCTTGTTCAAGCCTGTCGATATCAACCGGGAACAGATTGTTCGTTTTTACGCGTGTACTGCATGAGTTGGCTCTGCATTCAACTAGAATAATATCTTCACTCATTACCTGAGTGAAAAGGAAGCCAAAGATGGCGGGCACAGAACGTCAGTTTAATCTGTTGCACAGTGTAATTAGAGCAGACTGACTTCACCATGTTTGACTTCATTATAGCGCTGCAGGTTTCACTTTAGAAATGTACGGTCAGGTCTGGAAAAAGCCATGACCACTGGCACTGTGACAGAACAAAACATATTCTGCCGATATTTCGGCGTGCGCTAACTAAACAAAACGTAAATGCCGTGTGCTATCACGCCAGTCTAAAGACAGTACCCTAATTTATTTACTATAGTCTATACATTGCGTACGTCGTTAACTTGTGTGACTAAAAATTAACTTGGCCATCTTTGCCCTCCAAGCCCTTATTAACTTTACACCTGCAATTTGATCTATCCATTCCCTCTCCCTTCACTTTATTTTCTTTTAATTGTTCCTATCTTGTTCTGCCTTTTTTCTTTCTTTCACTCTATTTTTTTCTGCGAACTTACAAATTTTCTGGGACAGATTGGTCTCGTGATCAGATACATTTTCCAACCATGAATTTTACTAAGTATCTTTTTCATTGAATGTTTCAAAGAATGTTTTGCTTATTTATGTCAGATATACAGTACCACGTGTCCCCCATAAAAACTATACACTGTTTGATTTTGCAGGGCGTTTCAAAATCAAACCGTGTATGGTTTTTGGGGGGACACCCGGTATATGGGCTTCTCTTGTCCTAAATATTTAATTGTGGGAGTATTATAACTTTGTAGAAAAACATCCCAGCAAGATATTTCTCAATTGACCGAGTATTCAGAAATGAAACTCTCGATGCGACGCATTTGGCAGAATTTCATCAGATCGAAGGTCTTGTCGCTGATTACAACCTAACATTGGGAGATCTCATTGGTGTTTTACATGCATTCTTTAAAAAACTTGGTGAGTAATGTATATGTGTGCGCACTGAACTATATAACATGGAAGGCTGACTCGAGCTCAAAAAGTGAAGGCAAACATGGCGGAAATTGAAGGCATTCTTGCGCGTCATTCTCAGTCCCCTTACGTGCGCGGTCAACAAAACTTTTATATTTTTCTTTACTTTCCGAGTAAAAATCTGGTGAAAAACAGACGAAATTTGAATGAAAAGTTGAATTCTGGTGTTTTGTTTGGGTTAGCGCGGGATTGTTGTTTTTGTAAATGACGAAGAGATGACAAAACAAAAAACAAATGTCACTCAATCTTTCAAAATATCCCCCATTTGTCCCCATTGACAAGAGTTTCACACACATAAATAACTCATTAAAATAAACAGTTTAAGTTTATAAGGCAATCATCAAAGTGATGTTATTAAATAGAAAATAAAACTGCAGTTAAAAAGCAGTTTTAGGTCAGGAAAACGGACTAAAATAAGCTAAATAATGGTGTGAAAACTGAAAAGCACCATAAAAACAAGAAAGCGAAACAACCAAAGGAAAAATAAATTTCCAATTTATAAAAATAGATTTATTAAAAAAAAAAAAAAAAGTTTGAAATTAGTTGTTGAATTCGCAACGAAAAATACAGATTTACTCGCACATATACAGTGGGAAAATGCAGTAGACAGATCGATTAGATGAAGAAAATCAGGTTTACATGAAATAAATGAAGTTAATTTCCTTTTTTGCTCTTTTAAAATGAAGAAAAACACAACCCGAGAGTCGCGGACCCATCACTTCCCGCCATGAAAATATAAAAAATGTTTGGCCGCGCGGGTAAGGAGACTGAGAATGACGTGCAAGAATGGCTTCAAAATCCGCCATCTTTAGCTTTACATTTTGATTACGTCACTGACTGAAGTCAGCCTTCCATGTATATAGTTCACTGTGTGTGCGTGGCTTTTCACAATCTTTGGATTCATCATTTATCAAACTTGAAAAAGGTGTGACTAAAGTGGTTGAACCAACCCACCCACCCCTCTTTCACTCCAAACCTTTGTCTCTTTGTTTTACGCAGAAACCACTGTTTCTATGTTTATACAGGAATGCATAAACTACGTTTTAAGCCAGCGTATAATCCATATACGGAGCCAAGTATGGAAATATTTGGATATCACGAAGGTACCGTACAATAAAATAATCATCGTTATTATGTTTCCAGGGCTTGCAGGATAGTGTACTACCTAAAACAGGGGTGCTAAAACTGTCACTCGGCATTGTTACCATTGTTGTAAAATGACTTGTGCGGAGTTGTGCCTTTTATTTTTCCAACCAGAGTTCAATTCCTGTAGGATGCGGTTGGCTGGTCACAATTTCGCTCCAGTCGCACCATAGGAGAAAAATACTTCCATTCCAGTTTCACTCAACTTACTGGATCAACCTGTGAGATAACAATAGATAATCCATGGCGCTATCCAGTATAAATACAGTACAGTTAGTTTATTAGTTTTGTAAAGTTCTTACATTAAAAAATCGAAATCAATCAAGTCACCTTTACTCGGTCGACTGACATTATGACGTGATTATAAAATAGGTATCGGCTAGATTGTTGCATGAATAATCGATAATCGGTAATTTTCGATTGTGAAAAAATCGGTGAATCACTACAGAATTCTGTGATTTGATAATTGAAATTAGAATATATCTCATCTAGGTTTAGGAAAATGGGTTGAGGTTGGAAATTCAGGTGTATTCAGGCCAGAAATGTTGCTACCAATGGGACTTCCAGAAAATTTATCTGTCATCGCATGGGGCTTATCTCTTGAAAGGTACTGTGTAGCTTTGTTGATCATTTATGGAGGAAGTTTTACATTATAGGAAACTTTTGGCAATGGCTAAAGTTGAAGCATAATCGAGGGTTTTTCTCCGGATTTTCCGGAGTTTTTCTCCGGGTTTTCCTCACTGAAAACTAACCCTCACACATTAATCGTAAACTAACCTGTTAAAACCTTGTAGAACCTGTTATAGCCTGCTTGTAGCTTAGGGTGGGGGCTGCTGAGCAGGCTAAACCTGTTAAGGCTTTCCGTCCACCTTGGAGTAGTCAATACATTAAACCCTGATTAATAAACTAAATATTTCTCAGGCACTATGCCAGGATATGCCACTGAACTAAGTTTTGTTATGTTTTATTTCATTTCAGACCAACAATGATAAAGTACGGTATATCAAATATTCGAGATCTCTTTGGACATAAAGTTGATCTAGAAATGGTGAAAAGAAATGCGATATGCAGACTGGACTCGTAAATATAGTACACGTAGAAGTAAATTTTATGTAAATTTGAAAATTTGAAATGGAAAAAAAGTTTAATGTGCGAAAGCTAGTAGTCTGGAAATATAATATCGTTTAGCCATAGATTATAGATCACACCAGATGTCTCACTCAGCCAAAATTGTGTCCGCGATTTTTTATGAGCACGAATTGGCCGCCATTTTGGCAGTAAGTGTAATCCACGCCATGAAACGTGAGCAATCACGCATTTTGGTAGTAAGCGCCATTTTGGCAGTAAGTGTCGCACGCGTCATCTGGCGTGATAGCCTTGCGAAAATCGCGGACACGAAAATCATAGAGATAGATACACTGTGAGACATCTGGTATGATCTATAATCTATGGTTTAGCCCCATAGTTTGGAAGTAGTAGATAAATTCTCGCTTTGCATTAGGGTGCGTGTGTCCCACGAACTTTTATAAAAAGGTACTAAAATCCCAACGGTTCTTTGTTTGGTCTTTTTGCCGGTGTTTAAATTTCTTTAACAATTAACTTTACGTAATCACATACGTATTAAGATTTCAGTATTCCCGCAACTGTGCAAATACTTGTCTGGGAAAGAATTGTATTTTATATTCTTCAATTAAACACGTTTCCCACTAATGTGGAAAAGAATAAACCTTACCGATTATTCTCTTTTACCCAATGGCCTCGTTTCCATGTTAACTTATTTTACATGTCAGGGGCAGATAAAGATTATATTCCCATGTTTTCCTGGACGAATTTGTTTCTTGCTGTTTATAGGCTCAATATATAACAGTAACTTTCAACCCTACTAAGCACAAGTATTTGACATGAAAACGAGGCCATTGGGTAAAAGAGAATAATCGGTAAGATACTCTTCTTGTACAGTGTGTATAAAAAACTGAACCCTTTCAAATTCAAATGAGCTATAACGTATTGTAGTAATTTGACAGCTCTAATCCCTCGTCAAATTAATATGCGTAAATTAAAACACAACTCACAAGTTCTAGTACACATTGCCATAGGAAATTAATAATAACTTGACCGCTCATATGTACAAGGTGTTGCAAACGTATTTACAATAATTTGCTCTTAATTTAATTCATGCTCAGATAAATTTACAACTTATTTGAAAGACTCCTGTCAACGATAAAATATTTTGACACTTGCTCACTTGAAAAACATTTGCGAAAAAAAGTTTTCCTTAAGTCGATCGAGTTAAGACTTTTAGTGGTTATTCAAGCGCCGTGTCCTTCAATGTGTCCTCCATTTCTCTCAACACAAAGTGTGGTTCTCTTTTGCATATGGGGCACTGCATTAGCAATAAAGTTAGGATTATTCCGCAAAGCATTAAATTCCGCGATGATTCTCTGGCGTAGCATGTTCACATCATGAGGTGGGCTGGAAAATACTTTCCCCTTGAGATAGCCCGACAGGAAAAAGTCACACAGTGTTAAATCTGGGAGGCCATTCCATGTCGTGCCCCAATCCGATCACGCGGTCATTTCCAAAGGTTACCCGCAAAGGAGTGTTCTGCTCTGTGGGTATAACCTGTCATTTATTTCACAAAGATTGTAAAATAAAAAATAAAATAAATACTTAATTTAGCCTATCCCTCACTTCAAGAAGTCGATGCGCAGGGGCGCCATCCTGTGCCCAGTCGCGAAACAATCCATTTTCAAACTGGTTCCTGAAGTGCACAGCGAGGAGTGGCAAGACATATTCGTGTAACATGTAGAGATATGCAATGCCGTCCACATTTCCATCAAAAAAGAATGGACCCAAAAAGACACCATTCCCGCAGAGTCCCGCCCAAACAGTGAGCTTCGTTCGAGAATCACTTCTGTTGAAATTAAACCCTGGAGGATGTCCTTTAGGTGCGTACTGTCGAACATTTTGCGAGTCTACTTCTCCATTCATTGCGAAGGCTACCTCGTCTCCAATTACCACATATTCCAAAAAATGGGGGTCTTTTTGGCATTTCTGGTTGAACCACTCAGAAAATTGACGTGCATTCGGTATGGATGCTACCCCAAGTCAAGCCTTGTAATGCGGTTGAAGCCTGCAGAAGAAACTTGTATTGGATTGCGACGAGCACTCGCATCCCGTGGATTTTGCTCGAGTAGACTGTCGAGTGGATTTTGCTCGATTTGGCAACGCGACGCGAATTTTCAGTTTTCAATGTCATTTAACTTTAATATTTTTCAATGGTTTTCAAATATTCGGAACCACTTAAACAATTTTAGCTATTTGGACTGCATATTATGTAAAATTTTTATCTATTGACGGTTTTATTTGTTTTTGAAAACTGAAAATTCGCGTCGCGTTGCCGAATCGCATCCGGTCTGTGTGGGCCTTTACAGCTGCAATATTTGCGTGGGAACGCGCGGTTCTTGGTCGGCCAGAATTGTTTTTGTTACGGTTCAGGCTTGTTCCGTGTTCAGAATATTTCCTAAAGTTTTGAAGGATGGTATTTTTACTTGGAGGATTCCGACCAGGAAACCTTTGTCGAAATGCATTTTCCACTGCTACTAAACTTTGGGTACGGTTGTAATGTAACACCATAAATATTCGCTGTTAAACGTATTTCTTTTAAATTTTCTAATTTTTATTTCTTTGAGTTTTGTTCCATGAGTACAAGACCTTGTGTTCTTTTAAAAGGTTGAGTTACACGAGCAACAAAATTGCTGTAACTTGCAACAAAATCTGATTTCTACGCATGTTAATTGAAAATGTTTACACATAAATTACAAATCACAAGGCAACATGTGTCGACATTTCTAATTTCATGGCGTGTTCGCGAGCAGTCAGAGGGACAAAAAATGCACAGGTTAGGCAGCTACAGAGAAAGTTGAGTAATGTTCGCTCCGCCCGCGCGGGCAAAGCGACTGCAACTGAAAAATTGCCTTTTTGCCATGGTTCATGTTTGGGAGATCTTTCTAGTGTTTCCTGATTGGTTTATTTCACTCATGCATACCCGCGTGACGCAATTTTGGGGGTGGAGTTCACAATTTTAGTCTTCCCTCCACCGATCTCAAAACTAGGACTGGACAGAAAAACCTTTTGAATTCTGGGAATTAATTGTGAAGCCATGCAGAATATTTATTATGCATGTGGAGAGATTATCTGTCACATTCCTTACGAATCATAGCCATCATTAAATTAGTTATACTATCAAGCAAATATCTTCTTCCAGGTAACTTGAAAGATACTGCTTCCCACACCTCTTCTAACGAGTTTTAGAACGTTTTAATCACGAGATAATTATCGGAGATGGGGAGATATATTATCTCAGACACATGACCGGACCACTAGCTTCCTTCAGCACAAAAATCACCTAGCTCCAATTCAGCTTCACAGAATCGCTCTTCTCAATTCAGTGAAGAGTTGACTGAGAGTAAATAGTTTCCTCGACTAGCCTTCACTCCAAACAAATTTGCTTGGGCGCTTCGGAAATGCTGCCGCAGTGCCGGCCATATAACGATCCCTGATATTCTTATTATACGGATCCTAGTATTGTTCTGATCTGACTGTTCGACTCCATTCGACATATTTTCCAAAATTCAAATTTCAAAAATATATAATACTTCTTGTTACATCAAGCGAGATTTTGCACAAAGATTCTTATGTTACAGTAGCTCTTGGCAGCAAACCCAGCATTATTGACCTAATATCATGCAACAATTTTGAAGTGTTTTGTTTACTGTAACTGCCTATTTTCATGCAATCACTTGTGATATTCTGATATCCAAATCTTAAAAACACTCGAAAAGGGAAGTGAAGCACACTGAGGTGAGTGATAAAATAAAAACCCATTTTCTAATAGCACCTGTAGTATTTTGATATCAATGCTAGTATATCGAATAAGTTAGGTTGGACGCTGGATGTTGGTCAACAATAGTATGTGCGGGCCTGCAGAGCTGATGTTTACACCATAATCCGTATGTTTCCACATCGTATTTGTTGAGCTAATATCTGCTTCAAAGCGATACTTTTTTACCATTTTGACTTTCGAGAGCATCTTAGTGCACTCTATCTAAGGCTGTTTACACTTGCAATTTTTGCTGCGATTTCTGGTGCGATTTTCTTCTTCTAATGTATGTGAACGAGTGGATGAGTTATGAATGTTCAGATAAAGGTACATACATTCAGAAAATTCATAACTCATCTACTCGTTCACATCCATCAGAAGAAGAAAATCGCACTAGAAATCGCAGCAAAAATTGCAAGTTTAAACGGAATGCTTATTAATTCGTTCTCCGCCTTCATTTTTCCACTACTTATATAACATTTGTTGTATAACAAATGCATTTCACATCAATTGCAAGCTAATGAAACTGATGTGACGTTTTTGCTAAATAAATGCTGGCTCAATCATTTAAAGTCTTTGATTGCTCTGCCAATCACTAGAAAACCTTTCGGTTAATTTAGACTCTAGGCATTTCGTTCCACAAACATTATATTCTAGTATTACTTTTGAAGATTATTACTAAAAAAAACTACCAAAATAATAGAATATTCAATAACTTGTAACTTGTTCTGTAAGAGAATGTGAATAATTGTATTGTATTGTATTGTATTGTATTGTATTGTATTGTATTGTATTGTATTGTATTGTATTGTATTGTATTGTATTGTATTGTATTGTATTGTATTGTATTGTATTGTATTGTATTGTATTGTATTGTATTGTATTGTATTGTATTGTATTGTATTGTATTGTATTGTATTGTATTGTATTGTATTGTATTGTATTGTATTGTATTGTATTGTATTGTATTGTATTGTATTGTATTGTATTGTATTGCAGTGTATTGCCAGTGTATATAGTGCCAATATAAATAACAAGCTTTCGTTGGTAGGGATACAACTACCTGAAAAATATAAGGAGAATTTCGACGTTTCTGGAAGAAACTTCGCTCGAAATGTCGAAATTATCCTTATAGTATTGTATTGTATTGTATTGTATTGTATTGTATTGTATTGTATTGTATTGTATTGTATTGTATTGTATTGTATTGTATTGTATTGTATTGTATTGTATTGTATTGTATTGTATTGCCAGTGTATATAGTGCCAATATAAATAACAAGCTTTCGTTGGTAGGGATACAACTACCTGAAAAATATAAGGAGAATTTCGACGTTTCTGGAAGAAACTTCGCTCGAAATGTCGAAATTATCCTTATATTTTCAGGTAGCTGCATTCCTACCAATGAAAGCTTCTTACAATATATTCTAGACTCACCACTTATATCATGCTACAACATATCATGGAACATATTTCAAGGATCGTGTGATAAGAATTGCCGCAAAATATGAAGGGTATATTTTGATACAATCCTCTATTAGACAACTAATTTTGAGAATGCAATGCAAATTAATCTGTTGAGTATTGGCAGCTCATCCACTCCGGAAAAATATTTTGGATCATTTGCAAGATTTTTTTCCATTTTCCTGAAAAACAGACTTTTCTTTATTATTAATATCGTCTCGCGTTTGGCACTCTAAGAGTAGTCGATATAGAGAAAAGAAGAGAACTATTGCAATATTTGAAACCCATTTCATTAATATATATAAATGTGAATAGGTTTAGAAAGTTAATACAGGTTAAGCCATGCAGTGCAATCACTGGTCTCAAAACTATACGACTGGATTGAAAAATTTTAAATTAGATCCATTAATGTGAACCAGCAGTAAGATTTATTATGCATTGGAGAATTTCTTCAATTCTTACGAATCAAAATATCATTAAAGAGTTTACTATTAGCAAATATCACCCTTCCAGGAAGAAAGATATGCTTCCACACCTCTTCTAACGAGTTTTAGAACGTTTTAATCACGAGATAATTATCGGAGATGGGGAGATATATTATCTCAGACACATGACCGGACCACTAGCTTCCTTCAGCACAAAAATCACCTAGCTCCAATTCAGCTTCACAGAATCGCTCTTCTCAATTCAGTGAAGAGTTGACTGAGAGTAAATAGTTTCCTCGACTAGCCTTCACTCCAAACAAATTTGCTTGGGCGCTTCGGAAATGCTGCCGCAGTGCCGGCCATATAACGATCCCTGATATTCTTATTATACGGATCCTAGTATTGTTCTGATCCGACTGTTCGACTCCATTCGACATATTTTCCAATAAATTCAAATTTCAAAAATATATAATACTTCCTGTTACATCAAGCGAGATTTTGCACAAAGATTCTTATATTACAGTAGCTCTTGGCAGCAAACCCAGCATTATTGACCCAATATCATGCAACAATTTTGAAGTGTTTTGTTTACTGTAACTGCCTATTTTCCAATCACTTGTGATATTCTGATATCCAAATCTTAAAAACACTCGAAAAGGGAAGTGGCTTACATTGAGGTGAATGATAAAATAAAAACCCATTTTCTAATAGCACCTGTGTATTTTGATATCAATGCTAGTATATCGAATAAGTTAGGTTGGACGCTGGATGTTGGTCAACCATAGGCATAGTATGTGCGGGCCTGCAGAGCTGATATGTTTACACCGTAATCCGTATGTTTCCACATCGTATTTGTTGAGCTAATTTCTGCTTTAAACCGATACTTTTTGACCATTTTGACTTTCGAGAGCATCTGCGATTTTCTTCTTCTAATGTATGTGAACGAGTGGATGAATTATGAATGTTCAGATAAAGGTGCATAAACTTAATGACTTAATATCAATTGTATTCAGATAAAGTTACACAAACTCAGAAAATTCATAACTCATCTACTCGTTCACATCCATCAGAAGAAGAAAATCGCACTAGAAATCGCAGCAAAATTTGCAAGTGTAAACGGAATGCTTATTTCGTTCTCCGCCTTTATTTTTCCACTACTTATACAACATTTGTTGTATAACAAATGCATTTCACATCAATTGCAAGCTATTCTAGTATTACTTTTGAAGATTATTACTAAAAAAAACTACCAAAATAATAGAATATTCAATAACTTGTAACTTGTTCTGTAAGAGAATGTGAATAAATTGTATTGTATTGTATTGTATTGTATTGTATTGTATTGTATTGTATTGTATTGTATTGTATTGTATTGTATTGTATTGTATTGTATTGTATTGTATTGTATTGTATTGTATTGTATTGTATTGCATTGTATTGTATTGTATTGTATTGTATTGTATTGTATTGTATTGTATTGTATTGTATTGTATTGTATTGTATTGTATTGTATTGTATTGTATTGTATTGTATTGTATTGTATTGTATTGTATTGTATTGTATTGTATTGTATTGTATTGTATTGTATTGTATTGTATTGTATTGTATTGTATTGTATTGTATTGTATTGTATTGTATTGTATTGTATTGTATTGTATTGTATTGTATTGTATTGTATTGTATTGTATTGTATTGTATTGTATTGTATTGTATTGTATTGCCAGTGTATATAGTGCCAATATAAATAACAAGCTTTCGTTGGTAGGGATGCAACCACCTGAAAAATATAAGGAGAATTTCGACGTTTCTGGAAGAAACTTCGCTCGAAATGTCGAAATTATTCTTATATTTTTCAGGTAGCTGCATTCCTACCAACGAAAGCTTCTTACCAATATATTATAGACTCACCACTTATATCATGCTACAACATATCATGGAACATATTTCAAGGATCGTGTGATAAGAATTGCCGCAAAATATGAAGGGTATATTTTGATACAATCCTCTATTAGACAACTAATTTTGAGAATGCAATGCAAATTAATCTGTTGAGTATTGGCAGCTCATCCACTCCCAAAAAATATTTTGGATCATTTGCAAGATTTTTTTCCATTTTCCTGAAAAAGAGACTTTTCTTTATTATTAATATCGTCTCGCGTTTGGCACTCTAAGAGTAGTCGATATAGAGAAAAGAAGAGAACTATTGCAATATTCGAAACCCATTTCATTAATACATATAAATGTAATCATTAATATATAAATGTGAATAAGTTTAGGAAGTTAATACAGGCTAAGCCATGCAGTGCAATCACTGATCCCAAAACTATAGAACTGGATAGAACAATTGCTATAAATTAACTAATGGTGGCCATATTAACATATGTGCATGACCTGTGACCACCGTAAGTCTACAGTGGTGTTGCTGGCGTATTTGAAGAAGTTTTTAAAGTTTCTTGTGATTGGCAGGAATAAAAACTATTGCCTATAGAGAAATTGGTTACTAGTGGCCTAGCTCTCTTCCTGCAATTTGCCAGTGAATAGTTATAATGAGATACACATGTGTGGCCGCCTCAATTAAATCTCATTATCTCGTGTTTAAAACGATCTACCTAAAAGACGTGTGAGAAGCTATTTATTTCAAGTTACGTAGAAAAAAACATTTTCTTGATAGTATAACTAATACTCTTTAAAGTTTGCGCATATATTAACTAGGTCGATATCGTCTTGGTTTAAGCTATTAAACAACTTTGGAATTCATATCTTTGGTTCAGCTAGCCATTCAACATGCTCAAATGCTATGCAAAAAGGTCGTCCGACCAATCACCCATTGACTTATTGCAAGAAAATCTATACTTATATGAAACACGTACAAAATTTGGTCAGCTTGGTCAAACCATTAATTTTATAATGGGGGTTGAAGAGATCAGGGTAGAGCCGTCACGGTACATTGGAAATGAACCTAATTAGTTGATAATACAGTAGAAAAAGAAGAAAGGAGCTCGCGCTCAAATTCGTAGACAAAAACAAAGTGAGCTGAAAAAAATAACAATGAAATCTATTTAATCATTCCCTGAAAAAAATAACAATGAAATCTATTTAATCATTCCCTGAAAAAAATAACAATGAAATCTATTTAATCATTACTTATTTATCGAGTCAGTATAGCACAGTCTATAACAATAATATGTTAACTATATCGATTACGTATTCTTTCAACGCCGTCCTTAGACGGAAAACGATGTCAGTCCGATTCATCTAACCTAGAGTTTATAACAAGGCGTTATCTGTTATTAATTTCAGAGTTCTTTAATGACATCGGTATTTTATTATGTTTCCTGGACAACATCGGTACAATCTATAATTGTAGTTGCGATTTCCACAGCACGAAGTACTCCCGGCTCCTTTCAAGAGAATTCTACCACCACAGCAAATGCGTGTTCTGGAATTGTAGTTGCGATTTCCACAGCACGAAGTACTCCCGGCTCCTTTCCAGAGAATTGTACCACCACAGCAAATGCGTGTTCTGGGATTGTAGTTGCGATTTCCACAGCACGAAGCACTCCCGGCTCCTTTCCAGAGAATTCTACCACCACAGCAAATGCGTGTTCTGGGATTGTAGTTGCGATTTCCACAGCACGAAGTACTCCCGGCTCCTTTCCAGAGAATTGTACCACCACAGCAAATGCGTGTTCTGGGATTGTAGTTGCGATTTCCACAGCACAAAGTACTCCCGGCTCCTTTCAAGAGAATTGTACCACCACAGCAAATGCGTGTTCTGGGATTGTAGTTGCGATTTCCACAGCACCAAGTACTCCCGGCTCCTTTCCAGAGAATTCTACCACCACAGCAAATGCGTGTTCTGGAATTGTACGTTCGGCCCCCACAAAGAGAGCGGCGACTTCTCACCTCTTCTTCTTCAACTGAAGCATTTGCTAAGTGGCAAAAATTGAAAGTCAGAGACGGATAGATGCAAAGGTTATTGGCAGACAGTTGCGAATATTAAACTTACCAATGGTAGCGTAGAGTATGCAAATCCACACACAGACCAACAGCCACTTCATCTTGTATCAATATATATGTCAGTGTATACACTGCAACTTACACTGCAACTTGATGTACAGGCAAACGTCCCACGTCAGGCAGTATAGGATTCTGCTGTATGCTACCTCAAGCTACAACGAGCTAGGTTATATTAGCTCCACAACAGGAAATAACTAGATGACATATTTGGGCGGGGTTATCCAACCCCCCTATTCCAGACTATTGTCTTTAGAGGCTGTCTTTTCAAGCTTCCGTTATCCACAATGCATTTATTAATATAACCAAGAGCACTACATCACAATAGCCTTTTAACCACATTTATCAATCACACTCCTATATATGAGCAATGGTAACATACATATTTACTACGGTATATACAATTAATATTATGTTATTAAGGTTAGTTGCTCCCGTTGATAATATCATGAAGCAGTTAAGTTTACCGGTGAATTAGTGATATTCATGAGCTTGATTGGGGGATCTAACAACCTGAAACATAAAAGTACCAGCATCCGGACACAACAAAAACCAAAAATATAAAAATAGCAGCATCCGGACACTCGAAATATTTTGATGAGTTGGCAGAAATGCAATTTTTAAAAGGGAAATCAAACTCCCTAGAGTATAGATTAACAAAATAAATGTTTGATGAGTGTTCCAACCCCATTTAAACTTTAAAAATACGAGTGACTAAATTAAACTAACTTACCAGGAAAACTAGACACACCAAGGACCACTCTTTCAACCAAATTGCCTGTAAAACTGAAATAAAACACTTAAATTAAACAACTTACCAGGAAAAGTAGACACACCATCATGGAAAAATTCGATAGTTTTTTCGAAAGCCTTAACATTTCGGAATCATCTTTGAAGAATATAGGGAAGAAAGTAACTTGATACAGTCTATACATTCGTAATACCATATGGCATATACCTGTTCAATACATTTATATTATTACGCCTTCCTTGCATTGAAAACACTCAAATTTCAAGAATGCGCTATAAAAACTGTCAATATTTTAAACTGGAAATATTTTAAAGTGGAAAACGGGCTTAAACCATGTCGAACGACTACCATCGGATCCTGTGCGACTGGGATAAGACTCCTTAAAGTAATTTAAATTCAACTGTATTGACTGACCAGTCAAATTCAATAGTAGAAAATTACCTTATGCGTACTGTATTAAAGAACAAAATATCGAAACTATGTGTGACATTTTAAAGGGGTCTCCAGAGAAACGAACATATCACGTTTCTCGTGGACAAAATCGATATGCGAGGCTTCCCTATTGTCATAGTATGCATGGAGAGGCGGAGCGAGAAAGAGAGACTTGCATGTCAACTTCGGAAAATCTCGGTTCAAAACTGAACCGAAAATGCTAGACTTGCTTTAATTGTTTTCCTTCAATTTCTTTCTGTACTATTTACTATAATGGAACTCATGTTATTTACACTGTGCTATATCAATACATATAAACACTGACAGAAAACAATTAAAGCAAGTCTTGCATTTTCGGCTCAGTTCAGTTCGTTTCTCGTGGACAAAATCGATATGCGAGGCTTCCCTATTGTCATATAGTATCGATCCACTATAGTGTACATTACATGACGTAGCATGGAGAGGCGGAGCGAGAAAGAGAGACTTGTCAACTTCGGAAAATCTCGGTTCAAAACTGAACCGAAAATGCTAGACTTGCTTTAATTGTTTTCCTTCAATTTCTTTCTGTACTATTTACTATAATGGAACTCATGTTATTTACACTGTGCTAGATCAATACATATAAACACTGACAGAAAACAATTAAAGCAAGTCTTGCATTTTCGGTTCAGTTTTGAACCGAGATTTTCCGAAGTTGACAAGTCTCTTTCCCGCTCCGCCCCTCCGTACTACGTCATGTAATGTACAATATAGTGGATCGATACCATATGACAATGAAAGAGAGACTTGGAGCAAGTCTAGGCTTCCCTAAGATACACGATCATTTCAAACAATTAACAAAACGATTGGATATCGATAGATGGTTAACAGGGATAACAGCGACATTTTATAGGATAAAATAATGTCTAGTCATTTTTGTGTGTCTTTTGGTGTTATGTGGGTGAATGTTTGTGATGTTACCCCGAGTGTGCATCCACACTCATGGGCGTACCGGAAAGAAACAATTAGGGGGGGGGGAAGAAATTTGCCCGACTTTTTCAGATTGTGCCCGACCAGTGCCGAAATTTTTTTTTCCGGAACAAATTAATTTTGGCGCCCCCAGCCCGGTACGCCCATGTCCACACTGGGCAAGCTGAATTAAAATAAGTTTATCTGACCACGGTGGGAATTGAACCCGCGATCTTTGCTTTGGGATACAAGTTCAATGCTCTGCCAACTATATACCAAAAACTTCATGGATACTAAAATTGAGAGCAATTTCAAATCTGTTCAGTTTTTTTTATACACCCTGTATTAGCCCATCCCCCTACTTCCTCCGCAGGCCTTTCAAAAATATAAAATTGGTGGGAACAGCCGCTTCGTTTCAGATTTCAAATTTTAACCTGCGAACGGGCATACTCATTACTGGCTGTAAGGCCTGCGGAGGAGAATTACGTATGAAATATATAGAATTACGTATGAAATATATAGCTCAGTGTTCAAGCCTGTGATTTGCGGGCTGTGTGCGGGCTAACACGCGCGTTGAATACACAGCCCGCAAACAGCTCGCAAATCGCAGGCTTCAAAACTGAGCTATATATTTCATACGTAATTCTAATACATAACTTCAATAAGACCCAGGATGGGCTCCTGTGAAGCAACGTGACCACAAATCGGCCAATCTCATTTGGTGATCACCCTAGCTATATATAAACTTCTAGATTATAATCTTTCACACCTTTAGTCTTCTCAACCACAGGTACCTGTAGCAGAGAAACGACCATGGCCTACAATTAGTACAAAAGATTAGCCGAGCTACTAGCAAACAAACGGAAAGCAAACTATAATTATTTATAATTACTATTATATTTCTATAAACTATAATCGATAAACTATAATCGGTATACTAAACAAATTATACTAAATTACTTGTAGTAAATGTTAAATAGTTACTATATTTTCAAAACTGTATATGTATTCCTATCATTAAGGTTTGGTGAGAGTTTGCTAGCGAACGTAACTAGACTACTATGATTGTGGTTCATCACCATTTGCTTTTGCCATTGTAGAATTGCCATTTTCGGGTTGCGTCGTTGTACTTTCGCCCTCTTGTCGTGGTTTCTTCGCGGGAGCTTCGATATTTTCGGTGTTTTCATCGTCTTTCGGTTTTCGCTTAAGGGAATAAATAAAGTCATTACACAACGTATAATGTTCGTTCTCGTGATGTTCTCACAGGGCAACCATGCAACGGTGCTGTAATATGAGCTCACATTCTATACCGTGCAGTAAGTGGCGCGAGGACGAACAGCTGCCACAATGTCTTCATGTGTAAGTCCGTACATGAAAGCATTGCACATGCAATGTTGTAAATGACTAACCTCCCAACGAAGGGCTTTCAAAGTTCTCATATTTTTCAAGTAGTTGTATTCCTATCAATCCGAAGCTTTCTTATTGGCACTACCTACACTGGCACAGACTTTTCACAATCTTGTAAATAATGGCATTACCACAGAGTAGAGACATACAGAGACGTAACTGACCGTTGTAAACACTGCGGAAGCTTACGTTTTCATGTACCCACTTTTTTTCAGGCGACCGGGCAAAAAATGATCAACTGCGCGTGCTCAGCAAGTTTAAAGTGAGTCGTCATCAGGTCGTCATCCAATCGGATGCATGCATCTAGTAACTTGCCGAGCATGCGCACAAAAAAAGTGGGTAAACTAGTTACAACTGTGTATGTCACTCCTCTGTGGCATTAATGCCCGCTCATCGTGTTCGATTCGTATTCAGGCGTATTAAAATGAGTGCAGACGCCATAATTCAAATGCCGTTTCGTTAAAATGCAGCCAGCTTACGCGTGTTTACTCAATGACATACGCCAGAAAATGAATCGTACACGATTAATCGCAGCGTGTAAACCGGTAGCTTAACGCGAGAAGGGATTTGGGATAGCAGTCTGCAAGGAGGGTAATGGTGTCCGATTATACATCACGTCAGGGTTTTAGCCAGGATTTCGAAAGTGGCCGTCCAAAATAATTTTGTGGGCGTGGCCACATGTTTTTGGGCGTGACCGCAATTTTTTGTTGTTGTGGAATTGTGGTGTTCTATTCGTTGAACCTTTTTAGTTTTAGATGCACATTTCCGTTATTAAATTAGTAAAAGCACACGTATGGTATGAACCGTATGATCACTACGATGTACAGTATATGCTATAATGAAGAATGCAATACAGCAGTGTAGTGTTTAGTTATTTTTATCAATCACCGATATTTTTCCCCTTTTTTATGCGTTTGGCTCATTTTGTAGCCACCTTTACCGTAAGTATAACTCTAAAGCACGTGGCGCTCGAGCGATAGCGTTTGTCGATACTTCAATTCAGCCATATTCAACGTGTTTTCGACGGGAAAAAATATAAAAAACATGCCATAAGTAAAGTAAACAGCAGATGACAACAATTCGAAGTATTCAAGAAATATTACAAAGCTTGTAAATTGCTATTTAAAGAAAATATTCCCTTAGGCCGTCCATGGCCGTCCACTAAAATTTAGCCGTCCGAATTCAGAAGTGGCCGTCCGTAGGACGGTCGGACGGCCGCCTGGCTAACACCCTGCATCACGTTGGTTTTCCCCAATTTACCGGCGTGTGGAGTGTTAAGATGAATCAGAATATTACTACCAAATTAGCTAAACTCGTGGTAAACCTTCCTGAAACAAGAAGCAAAACATACCTTTTTTCTCACAAGATGACCGATGTCAGTCGCTGGTTTATCCTGCAGTTCAACAAAATACATGCATTTAGTTTACCATGCAGTGAAAGGGGTAATTGTCGATTAGTGGACTTCTATTTTGAAACCAACCTCGTTCTCAATCTTCGCTCCTACCTCGCTTGAATTGAGACCCTGGTATCGGCTGGTGACGTGACCCGTCATATTTTGGCGGATTTGCTCAATTGTTTTAGGGAAAGTATAGTAAGTAGACATTGTAGTAAACAGTTAATATTGTTAAAATAACATTACAAAACAAAACATCTAAGTTACTATCCTTTCTCTAAAAACAATTGAGTAAATCCGCCAAAATATGACGGGTCACGTGACCAGCCTACAGAAGGGCCTCAATTCAAGCGAGGTAGGAGCGAAGATTGAGAACCTGGGTACGAGGTTGTTTTGAAACACAGGAGTTAGCTCACTTATCATATAAAAAACTCAATCTCGTTCCCCGAGCCTGCGATCCTCGGAAAGGAACGCGAGGCTCTGGGATAATCCGTTGCTTACGCCAGGAATCCTGGCTAAGATTGAACCACGCATTCCGTATCAACGGCCAATCAGATTCCTCCCTGAAACGGATTATCCCAGAGCCTCGCGTTCCTTTCCGAGGATCGCAGGCTCGGGGCACGAGATTGATAAAAAACTGAATTATGGTGCAATTATTATCCAAACGCTCAATCACGATATGTGAATATTTGGACTTAAATAAAAAAGTGCATTATCCAAATACTACTGAGCTGGACTAAAAAATATGGCAATAGCATTCCCGAAGGAAAATTTCTCGATTGCTATGCCTATACTGGTGCCTGCAGTTAAACAATTACTTACCGAACAAGAAGTGCTACACGTAGATAACGAGGAACTCTCAAATCCTGCCGACGTTAGTCCCAACTAGACGATTGAAAAATGAATACACGTTTTACTTCAGAAAATTGAATTAACGTACTATTTCTGACCATTGCATTACCTCTGACATTCATTTAGCTACACTAGACAAACATAAACTATCTGCTAAACGGCGAAGTATGATAAATGGTGACAGAAGTCTAGGTACTGATCTGATATCTAATGAAGAAGGTTAAATGGACTCTGATCATGAACATGGCAGATTGCATTTATTTTCTGCACAGGAGGGTTGTGAACATCTTTTTAACAATTAAATTGTGACCCCCCCAGGAATTCGGTTTATTTACCCCCTCCCTAGGAATTTCTACGATTTCATTGCCAGATAGTGCAGATACCCCAGGAATATGGTTATAATCGTAAAAGCTCGCTGGAGTTTGATCTTTTAATCACCTCCCCCTGGATTTCCAAGGTCTTTTAGGGTAATATCTCATGTTTCGCGCACGAATATATCTCTTCGATCTTCACCCCAATCCCTTCTTTAACCTTAACCCCATTTGTGCGCGAAACATGAGGATATAACCTCTTTTAATCACCCCCGCCTTCATTTTCTATTGTCCTTAACCCCCCTGTTCGGAAAATAAACGCAATCTGCCAATCATACCTTCTCTTTGATATTACTTTTCAATCTCTCATTTTCATTCTTTGCGTCCAGACACTGCAAATAGAAGTAAAGCAAAAATTATAGCATTATATGAAATTTGGCGTGGAAACCAAACCATATCACACAGGGCGCTGCTTATATCACTGGCGTTGCAACGCCCTATATTTAACAACCCAGAGGCCAGTTGTTCAAAGCTCGATTAGCAATAGCCCTTATGAGTTAATAATACAGGTGGACGGTATTATTAACTGTAAATAAAACTTCTACTGATCCAGACAAAACAATGTGAAGTTTACAAACAATCTGTTAGACTGTTGGCTTTAATTAACCCTAGATTAATCTGCCTTATTTTAAGGTAAATAATAGCATTTTGTTGCATTTTGTCGACGGGAGGGGGGGGGAGGGAGCAAAAACTTTCGAAGGGCCGAAAATATTTCCCACATTACATATCATTTGCATTTTCGACTGGTATCTTACCTATTTCTTGCTTTTCATTTTATTTCCTCCCACCTTTTTGCCCAAATTATATTTATAATTGAGGGCGCGGGGGTTAAGGCGCGAGGGCCACTACCGAAGGGCGTAAATTCTCTTACGTTGCCCAAACAAAGTTAGGTATCGCTTTATATTCGTTGCGCGAGTTTGTTACTTTGTTAGTCTGTTAGTTTGTTACAAATCTGATGGTTAATTCGGAATCATAAGCTTTATTAAAAAAATAGTGTGGTGCACATGCTAGTTTTGCGCATGATCAGTTTGGACTTACCTTTTCTTTGACCTCAGGTAATAAATCTTCAAGTTCGGCAAGTTCTTTTCTGTCTTTGACTAAGGGATCATCATCTGAAGCCTTGCCTTTCCCTTTGTCTTGTTGTTCTGCCTCTTCAATTCTGGTTTTAATGTTTTTTAGTCGTAATTCAAGTACTTCAGTTGCGTTACCATAATGGCTGGCTGATTCTTCATACAACATGGATAAGGTGTATGCCAGACCTAGATTATAGTATCTTACAAGTAGTCAAGGATGAAACTCATTACATATATTATTCAGCTCACTCCCATTGGGGCTTTTCAGTGACTGATTACATTACGCTTACTTATATTACCTACATAGCCTGGACTATTTATCTTTACAAAAGTTGTGATATTACTTTCCTAACTATGTTTATCCTAGTGGGAAGTCAACTTTCCCTGGGGGAAGAAACCAGAGTGCCCTGGGAAAACCCACGACTTTCGGCAGAGCGTGGACACTTTTCACACGAGCCCGTAGCGAGATTCGAACCCACGATCTCAGAGGTGAAAAGCGCTTGGTCCGATGACTGTCCACCGAAGCCCCCATAATATCGCCTCAGCCCTCGATTAGTTAATTAGTCAATGTAATCTGTAAATCTCATTAGGGGTCGTCCATAATAACTATCAACATCTTTACAAGCGTACAGAGAGTATACTTTTGATAGACCCCCCCCCTCTCTCCCCAGGGATCGTTAACTTGTTTGCGTGCCTGCGACGGCAAAGATTATTTGAAAATGTGCCTGCAAAATGTCTTCATGCAACATGCCAAACCACGACGTGATGAGCTATCAGCCATGAATTACTATAGATGCCGATTAGTAGGCTGGCTTATGAGATGGCTTTATATATTTTTGGTCCAAGAAATCGAGAATTTTAAGCTCACAATCATTCATGTGCATGCACCGTGCACTTGTAGTTGTTCTCTAGAAATTTTAACTTGTCACTGTCCCTATTAACAAAATATTTTAATAGACTAATAGTAACAGATAGTAAAATATATAATAAAATAAGAATTATGAAATTTATTTTATAACTTAGAAATGTGCCTGCAAGAAGGTTGTTTCTGAAATGTGCCTGCGACCGTCGGTCCCAGCGGTCCCCACTTTAATGCCCCTGTTCCTCCCACCGAGATCGTACTCTTAAATGTTGAATCTCAGGAATGATGAAGAGGAGTCTATAATCAACATTTTCAAAAGCGTCAACCCCTCCCTCCCTTCCTCCCAGCGTACGCTTTGTACGCATGTGAAATTGTTGATAATTATGGATGACCTCTTAATTGATATTGATATTGTAATATCATGATTGCGGGTATTCCCTTTGTTCTCGCAGGGCAATTAATAACTAATACACCTCATTATATTCATTTTTCTAATCCTACCCGCTTTTACGTCATGTCAGGTAGAATTAGTTGTAATCCTATCCGAAACGACGTCAAAGCGGGTACGATTAGAAAAAATGAATATATCTGAAATCGCCAAAACTAAACAAAGACATGGAAAACAATTATACCATTTAATTTATACCATTATTTATTGTTAATTGTTTTTAATGGCCCTGCGAGAACAACGGGAATACCCGCAATCATGATATTACAAGGTAATAGCATAGAAAGAGGCGAATTAGCTATTAAAACGTCCCGCCCGATGAGGGTCGTTTAGTAAAATTCCCTTGGGCGCCGCTCGATGAGGGTGGCCGAAGGCCCTCGGGAATTTTACTAAATGACCCTCAATTTTACTAAATGACCCTCATCGAGCGGCGCCCAAGGGAATTTTACTAAACGACCCTCATGGGGCGGGACGTTTTAATAGCTAATTCGCCTCTTTCTATGCTATTACTTATAAATATGCATGCTAAGCAAGCAAGCAAGCATTTGTGGGTCATGTACACTGATTCATATATCAGGAAAAAAGAAAGCACAATAACTAGCTTCATTACTTAATAAAAAGATACGTCTCTGCAAGAAGTCTGTCATCTGATTTCAGCAAGTTCTTCTGAATGTTTAGACATTTTGTTAGTTCGCTTACGGCATCAGAGAACTGTTCTGTTAAAATAAAACAAACAATATACGAAGAACGGCACATTTACTTGCTGTCAGTACTACATTTAATTGCTGTCAGTATAGCAGAGTGATCATCAGGAAACACGATAAAATAAAATCATGAGAAAAACCCAAAAATCGCATGGTTTCTCAACACAAAGTTGACTCAAGTGGAAACCCGGGCCGCTTGACGGCTTTAGTAAACTTTATGTTGACAACGCAGTGTTTGTCAGTGCGTTTTTCTCACGAGTATATTGTATCATAGTAAAGTAAGAAACTATAGTAATACGGTGTTTCAATTCACATTATATTACTAATCAGTACCTTGTTCCATGTGTATTTCACCCAACAGTAAGTGGGTTTGGGCCAGTTTTAACTGCATTTCTGTATTGCTATGTCTAAAAAGAAAGTACAGAACAATTTTATATCCAGATTGGGCTACCAACACTCTGCATGTTCTACTGTAGCGTTGATCACAATTTCATAATAATCGAAGTCGAATCTGCCTTGGGATTGGTCGAGAACAATGATCTTTTACAGAACAGATGCACGGATGACGTCATTACAGTGACAGAAGATCTGTAAGCCAATCCTAGTCATAGAGATTATAAATAACACTAGAGGAGGCATTGTAATCTTAATTCAGTAAAAAAAAGGGAACGCGACTATTGGGGGGCAAATTCAAGTCCCGGATGTGTATTCGTGTTCCCATTGGTGACGAGTTTCAAATCAGCCAATGAGAGCACGATTTTATATCCGGGACTTGAATTTGCCCCCCATTAGCTGCGTTCCCAATTTTTAAACTCGATGCCTCCTCTAGTGTTATTTATAATCTCTATGATCCCAGTAGTATCACGAACCAACGACGTGCGGATAGATCAGGGATCACGTGGAATGGCGGCTATCCTGTTGCACTTACCGCCCAAACATTTTGGGTACGAACTCAATTTACAATATTTACTAGCTAATTTTCCAACCTTCCGGTTATACCGAACAAGAAGATAACACTTTGTGGTTGTCTGTTTAGTTAAATATACACATAGGACGTCATAACCTGGCAAGGCAGCCAGTGGGCCACATGACGTCATACAGGGTATCACTGACAGACAACAGTAAAATGTTATCTGTTTGTTAATTTCATGTTGTGGAAAAATTTTACATATTGATGTACTGATTACATGCTTCCATTTTTATGCATAATACATAGATGTTCATATCTCCCAGCAATAAATTCTGAAGAGATTTTTTTATTTGAACAGTATCTTTTTGTAATACTTTCAGACTTAATATTTTACAAACTTAATTGGTATATTTATTAAATGCAATATGCAGATCGATGAGAGTGATACTGTATTAGTGATACTGTATTTGTAAACAGAGTTAGTTATGCATCAACGATTCCGTGGTTTTAGAAAAAATGCAAACCTTTTAAAAATGATCCTTGCTAACTCGAGCGTTTCCCAAGCAAGTTGTATTGTAGAAACTGGACCATCATCGGTTGTCTAAAAGAAGTTTTATGTAAAGATAATATGATTGTAGATATTAAGTGTTTTTGTTTATTACAAAAGCTAGAGATGTTCCCATCGGTTAGTCATCGTAATCAATTAATCGTCATCAATGATCGATAAATCGTATTGAATAAATCTAGACACGTCCTCATGGTTAAACTTTTTATTTGACGGCCAATGGGAGCGCTAATGGTAGCAGAGAAGAAAAAAACAAGTCGTCACATGAACAAACCATCTCCTCGGTTTTTTCAATCGGGGAAGAAAGTTATCCAATTATGCTATGCATGACTGTTTTATTGATTCAATTATCGTTGAGAATAATCGATTGCCAAAACACACACAAAAAAGTAAAAGATAAATCGATCAAACGGCAGCCGCTCTAAAAACAGCTATATTTAAAAATCTCGAAAAAATTTGCTGGTCCTTCACCCCGAAATTAATACTATTTAATAGGCAATTCCAGCTTTTAGTTTATGCGTGCAGGGGATGATGGGAAGTAAGGTATCATATTGCCGATTATGCTGAAAAATGTCAATAAAAACTACCAAAACAACCGAAATATTTCAATATTTACAAGTATAAGCTATCACTCCGTGTTTACACGGCCGCCATTTTTATTTTTTCAGCATAATCAGCGATGTGATACCTTACTTCCCATCGTCCCCTGCACGCATAAACTAAAAGCTGGAATTGCCTATTGTTATTCAAGATAAGAATAGTTCAAGACTAATAGTTTAAACAGGGTTCATACAGGTTGGGAACAGTAAAATTCAAGGACTTTTCAAAGACTTTCAAGGCTATGCATCAGGAAATTAAAATATTTAAGGTATGAAAATTGAGGCGTTGGAAATCAGTAAAAAGTCACGTTAAACCATTCAAAAGGCTTTGTAAGAAATTAATAAAACCAATTCAACAAAATGTCCGTTTTTTAATGTCAAAGAATTCAGAAAATATCCAAAAAGGAAGGCAAGAAGAAATTAAGGACTTTCAAGCCCTTCTTTATAAATTCAAGGACATCCAAGGCCTTTCAAGTTTTGAACGAATACTTGATGCTAGTTTTAGTATCTTGAACAGTCTATGCCAGTGTACAGTAGCACAGAATACTACACGGAAGACAGAAGTCCATCTCCATTGTTTTTTGCGTAAGCGTTATTCGTCATGATTCGTCACTCAGCAAATACCGTAAACAGAAGCAGTCCCCCCTGGAATTACTCAAAATGGCGCATGTCCAGGGGGCTGCTCTGTTTACGGTACTTGCTGAGTGACGAATTTTGACGAATAACGCTTACGCAAAAAACAATGGAGATGGACTTCTGTGTAGTATTCTGTGACAGTAGGTAGTGCCAATAACAAGAAAGCTTCAGATTAGTAGGGATGCAACTATCTGAAAAACACAAGAAAACCTCAGAGAGAACTTCACCGTTTCAAGCGAAGGCCCTTCGTCGCGAAGTCGAGCGTCGGGAAGTCGAGCGACGGCCCTTCGTTGGGGCCTTCGTCGCGAAGAACTTCAACGTTTCGAAACGTCGAAGTTCTCCATGTATTTACCTGAGAAATACAAGCAGAACTTCAGGTTCTTGTATTTTTCAGATATTTCTCTCAAACTGCGGCTGTATTGTCTATTTGACTTTAAAACCTATAATAAGCAAAACATCTTGTAATCTCGAACGGTCTATGCTGGTCTACAGTATGTGGTGACAAATAACTGGAAAGTTTCGGATTGAAAAAAAAGAAATTCAACTACCTGAAAAATATAAGAAGTTCAACGAAACGAAGGGCCTTCGCTCGAACCGTCAAAGTTCTGCTAATATTTCTCAGGTAAGAATCTCTATCAATCCACAGCTTTCCAAAATGTTTGTAGCCATTTTATACCTGCTCATCATTAACATCCTCATCAACATTGACATCCTCATCTTTGTTGTCTTTATCAACATCATCTTTCTGTTCCCCTGTTGTCTTGTTTTCACCATCCTCAACACCCTCTTTCTGTTCCCCTGTTGTCTTGTTTTCACCATCCTCAACACCCTCTTTCTGTTCCCCTGTTGTCTTGTTTTCACCATCCTCAACACCCTCTTTCTGTTCCCCTGTTGTCTTGTTTTCACCATCCTTAACATCCTCTTTCTGTTCCCCTGTTGTCTTGTTTTCACCATCCTCAACATCCTCTTTCTGTCCCTCTGGCTCTTTCTGATCTTCATTTTCACCAACTGCATCATCTACTTCTTTGTTTTCTTCACTCGTGCTTTCTTTATCGCCTTTATTCGTGTCTTCAGACACATCTTTATTGTCATTTCCCTGCTGTTCCTCCTCAGTTTTATCTTTGTTATCATCACTGGATTTATCCTCCACCTTGCTTTCTTCTGTGGTATCTTCCACCATTTTTTCTACTGCACGTTCACCGGCCGGCTTCTCTTCACTTGTTCCAGCTTTTTCCTCTCCCTCCACGCTCTCCTTTTTATCATCATCTGTCTTGCTTTCTGTTCCATCTTCTTCCATCTTTTCCTCGGTACATCCCTCGGCTTTCTCTGCACTTCCCTTTGCTACCGTCTCTTCGCTTGGTTTTGCTTGACCAGCAGTATTGTCCTCCGTCGTAGTTTTAACAATTGTGGGCAGTTTGTTGTTTGAACTACTCTCAGCAGATGCACCAGCAGACGTACCCCCCTGTCCTTCTACAGCAGAAAACAAAAACATTGAGAAAGTCGTTCTTGATCACGCCATGAATGTGAGAAAAAGTGTTTTAAACAATATTATATCTATAGCCTAAATTATATCAACAACTTTCTTGGCATTCACCTGTCTCCATACTGGTATCTTCATCATAGTCAGGTGATTCTTCTTCGACAGCTAAACAAAACAGACATTTTCTTACAATTCAGGCTTTTATGCAGGCAGCTCAACTGTCTTACAGTGGATTAATTTTGGTCCAGAAAACGGAAATTTCAAAGCAACCTTCCCAACAGCTTGTTTATCAACATGCATGAAGATAGTTTCCAGAATTATTGTCTGGTTCAATACAAGTTTTATTTTCAAAGTTTTGAAATAAGCAGAAGTGCAGATGCACCCAAACCAAAACAGCAGGTTAACGTTTAATCCAGGGTAGCGCTAATCCATCTTTGACTTTATGTTTTTGTTAACATACAATACTGCATGTCGTTGAAAATTTTTTTGATGCAAAATTATCACCCACGTACAGTATGTTTTGAACGGCTAGTTTTGACATTGCAGGGCTAAAAGCCTGCTTACAGTTGTAAAGTACCTTGATACAAAATGTTATGAAATGCTGTGATATATGTATACTGTATTAAATTAATGGTGATGTAAACACAGGTGGATTTAAAGGGATTTCGTACCTTCTTTAATGGCACTTCCTAAGACTCCACTCTCCAATCTATAAATTAAGATTACCGTCAGGGTCTTAGCTAGAGGGCCGTGTTGGCCGTGTTATCGCGGGCAAAAATGGAAAAACACGGCTAGATAAAATGAAAGCGGCTTCATTATTTTTATAAGGCTGTGTAGGTTCATAAAATAAGGTGTTGCTACTTACAACAGACAGAATTTCTTTCTATTTACGTCGTAAGAAAGTTTGTAAAATCTATTGTAATTTTTGAAATTGGCAAAAGTGATCCGTGATGTTTTAATGTTTTGATGGATAATGGGAACCATATGGTGTTAAAATGGCTTTAAATACCCCCAAGAGTTGCTGAAATAACTTACTATTTCCATGTCAGTATGCGATGTGAGCGTATGCTCGCCTTGTATTTGGTTGCAAAGCATACAACAACCACAGGCATTGTCTGTTGTTAGCGAGCATGACTAGTACCGTGAATTTGGCCATTCAAGGTAATTGACATGGGCACACCCTGGTAATTTAGAAACACGCCCAAGATCTAAAATCCTAGCTAAGACCCTGATTACCGTATGCATATATTTTCGTTATTGAAATAATTCGTTAGTTCTAAGAAAAAGTCATGTAAAAACCTTAATATAGGTATAAATATAGGCTAATATTGACTAAACATTCACCAGACAGTTATGTGATTTTTTAAACCTGGTTTATCTAAATTGTATATATATGCAGATATTCAAATTTATTTCACTTGGCATATGTATTACTGAAATGTGTTACAGGCTACTTTTCAGGTCACTCCCGAGTGAAAATTATTCATTTATGCACATACAAAATAGTCTGTGATGAATTGATTATAGAATTGAAGAGAAAAGTTTTACAATACAATGCATTGAAATATTTCATGTGCATATATTTCATGAGAATGCATGATAGGGGGAAAATTAAATTAATCCAGCAAAAATGCCATATTAACTGTGGAACAATTTAATTATAAAATATATTCAGAAATATTATTCCATGAATATTATATTCTGAATATTATTCCACTTTTCATTTGAATTGCAGAGTTTCTGCCATGTTCTTACAAACTTAAACATAATATATATTGTAAATCTGCCTGTAGAAAATTGAATAAAATAACAATCAATTGCAAAATTAAAGTGGTTCACAAAATGAAATGTGAGTTGGGTTAACTACACTATTCGATGTCAAGAAAAAGTGGTTCATCATGTGCTTTGTGATGAAAGACTACTGAAGACAATAATTTTATTTAATAAAATCCCAATCAGCACAAATAAGGAACAGGCACTGATAATAAATTGGGATTTTTGTTACACAGACAAGAAATAATGCATTACCTTGCTAGTTCTAAAAGACTTTTACCATACTGGAAATGAGCATCACCACATTCATTTGACAGTGCACCATATTTGTTATTCCTACAAAACAATTTTTTTATTTTTTGTTTCTCTTTTAATTGAATTAGGTGAAGCCATCAACTGTGCACTGTGGTGCAAGTCTGATTTCACAGTTTTTGCATTAGGGACCGCTCTTTATTTATTGTACAGGGGGGGGTTGAGGAGAAACTGGGGGGGCCTTCAAATTTTTCAAAACCTGAAAGGGGGGGCTTTGAAAAAATACAGGGAGGCGAAAGAAGGGGGGCTTTGAAAATATTTACCAGTTTGAAAAAACAGTAGTTTTAAAAATGTATCACAAAACAACTTAACAACAAATAACAATATTTATAGACTTTAATATTCATAAATGGAAGTCAAATAAAAAGTCTCTCATGTTCATGTAAATAGACAATTCCCATTATAGACTAATTTTATTTAGAACTAGGCAAAGAGATGCAAATCAAGGCCGGATTTTGGTGAAAATAGTGGGGGAGGTGGACAAAAATTTTAGGAGAGGTGCAGCGGTCTAGCTCACAACTCCCATGGAAAGTTAGGGCTTATTGTAGAAGAGGCCAATATCAACGAGGTGAGGTATGCATGTAGGGTACATATGTACCAGTGTATTAATGAATTATGAATGTATGACTCCAATCTTGCCTTCATTACAATTGCTACACTGTTTCTTTCAAAACATTGCATTAAAAGGGTGCTTGACATGGCTATCACTGTTTCAATTTTACAGAGAAAACTTTCTTACGTCACAAAATGTAGATCCTAAGCAACCATCACATTTTCACTTTGTTCCATCATTGAAACTTTCCCAAGGGGAAGTGCATGACCTTTCAAGAGAGGTGGAAAAATTCTCAGGGGAGGTGCAAAACGATCTCTGGGGAGGTGCGCACCTCTCCACACCTCCCCTCAAAATCCGGCCTTGATGCAAATAAATCACCACAGCTAGAAAGAGCATACTAAAATAAGTAAATTATTGCAAAGTTTGGTTGCAAATTGTTGCAAAATACGGATAATATAGCCTTGCAAAGTTTGCAAATTTTGTACACTTTTGTATTGCATGCGAAAATTGCAATTATACAAAAGAATACAAAATTTGCAAACTTTGAAAGGCTATATTTTCTACATATTTTACAACATTTTGCAACCAAACTTTGGAATTTTAGTAATTTAAAGCCCCGTTTACACTACGCTCAATTTTTGGTACGGCACAGATAAAATTGGTACCCGTACCACTTTTTTTGTTCTTGGACTACCTATTTAGGTAGTCCAAGAACCAAAAAGTGGTACGGTACCAAAAATTGAGCGTAGTGTAAACGGGGCTTTAGTATGCCCTTCCCGGGAATATACTTTTTTTGCTAAGATAAAAAATTAGTCTATAATGGGAATGTCTATTGGTCCCCATTACCTATTTTTCTTTCTCTAAAATAAACAGCTAGAGTTTTTGTTTCTCTAAATAAAGATAAAGAGCTAGAGGGGGGGGGGATTTATGTTCTTGTTTTGCCTGGGGGGGGGGCTTTGAAAATTTTACTTGTCTTAAGAGGGGGGCAACGAAAAAATATTACATCTGTAGAGTTTCTCCTCAGTCCCCCCCTGTACAATAAATAATGAGCGGTCCCTA